CTCGCCTCCCCGCTCCCTCCCTGAGATGTAGCTGAGGATACATTCACTTGGAGCGTTTGTGCTTCTGTAACATGTACTTAGATACTTGGAAGTACACTCGCATACACTAGTAGACAGATAGATGGTGAGACCTACATATATATATATACATATATGTAAACTTTTATGTATCTGTACATATATATGTACACACACACACAGACGAGGAGGCTGTATTGATACATGCATATATATATATATACACATCTGTATGTATATCTATGTTGTTTACAAACTCATAAAGAAAATCATTAAGTGCAGATATAAGTATATCTGTATGACCACACACATGCATTTGATGCATTTGTACGGATACTTAAAAATGAGTTTAAGGGGCATATAAAAGCATGTACGCACGGCGCACACTGGGCACGCACTCATGGTTGGGCATAGGCAAGCAAGTCCTTGTCACCGAGACCTAACATGTTTCCAGCACTCCCAAACCCAGCGATGCCTGTTGGTCTGGACGATGCTCATCGTGACCGCGTACAGGACCCAGCTGATGAAGCTTATCTGGCACGACTGGGGGGGGATCCGGGTTTGAGATTTTAGACCTCTGCATTTCCGTCTTTCAGCCGGTGCTGTGATGACGCACTGGTGACTCTCAGCCCTCGTTTTGTCGAGTTCCTTTCTCGCAGTCCTCTGCATGCTTCTCTTTGCTGCCGACAGCTTTTGAGAAATCAGTGCGGCAGTCTTGGTTTCATGCCTGTTCATGCGACCTCCAACTACCACATGCTGCTGCGGCAGCTGACTCTTGGGATCGTCGGACGTGAAATTCGATTGGGGTGTTTCTGACCAGGTCGCGAGGGATGACGGAAGTTGCACTTTTCCTTGTCCTTCAGATATGACATCTCCCACCAGAAACTACATGTGGACAACATAGGCTAAGCATCCAGTCGTCCTTACCATGGATGCCTCTGGCGTGGGAGTGCACGAGAGGCGAGAGTAAACGACTAACACGATCACAGCGCTTCTGAAGCTTGGCTCGCAGCAGTCCGCTGCCTTGGCTAGCTGAAGCGGCAAGAAGTCCAACCTTGCTTCACCCACCGAGTGCAAGTCTATGCTGCACAAGAACCATACTGGTACATGCGAGGCCCTCGCACTTTGCAGGCATCCGAGATAGATGAGAGGAGGCTTGCTGACCAAACAGCCCCACCCACCACATAGGAAGCTCCTTTTGCATAAACAGTCCCCGATATGACATCGGGTGCAAATGACCCACGACACCCATTGCGAGAGCACTGTAGTGAGATAGAGGCTCTTGCTTAATGTAGGGGCCAAAATAATCACCTCTACTGTTTTGGGGGCTCCTTATTACAGTTATAGTATGCTGGGCCCTATTTCCCCATTCTAAGTCGTGAGGCCCCTACATTACCAACGCCAGATGTCGTGCCGTGTACTGAAAGTTTAGGGTCGCAAGAAGTCTCTGATTGGTGCATCACAGGGTCTTGTTCCTTTCTTCCCCAAGAGGCTAGGGAAATAAAAGGATAAGCTTTTTAAAATCTCAGAGTATTACTAAGTTTTAAGAACCCAACAAAAAGTGTAAAGGTCGGGTATTGGAGAAGGAGCTTCGGTCTTGTCGGCGGGAGCCTGGAGAAAATTAGGGTACCTTATTTTGGGGTCCTTATAATAGGGACCCTATTAATTAGGGTACTATATTAGGGTCCCCTATTTTCGGAAGCCCCCGTATGATTCGATCGAGTTCTGCTGCGTGGCTCTCGCTACATTGGGCTCCGAATGGCTCGTCTCGCCGATCCAAAGACCTAAATCCAAATTCCGGCACCTCGGTTAATGTTCATTTATGCCCCACGCACTACGACGTAAGCACTACAACCCCTGACGCCTAATTACACCCGCAAAAGGGCGCACTAATCGAGTCTATGGCAGCCCGACTAACACGACAAAACTCGATGAACATCCTGATTGCCATTGCTGTATGGACAATGATTATGTTGAACACTGCTGCTGCTGCTACAACAACAACAACAACAACAGCAACAGCAACAGCAACAACAACAACAACAACAACAACAACAACAACAACTACAATAAGTACGACTACCACCGCAATTCTGAAAACGGCATCCGTGGTCATCATGACCACAGCGATACTGTCATTCCTATTCTTACGTGTCGGGGCCTTGCCAATTAGAAGAGGGGCTGAAGGCCATTGTACTATAATTAAAATAAGGAAGCCCCCAAAACACGGGAGATAATTCTCAACCCTAAACCCTAAGCCCTAATTATTTAGGACCCTACATTATTGTAACCGTCCCAAGTGTCCCAGTTTGCTGCTGAACTCTGCGCTGGGGGGCGGCAGGGGCTTGCCACTGTTGGCCTTGACCAGGGCTGCCACCTCCAAAGTGCCTTTTTTCAGGGGGGGGTTTTAGGGTTTAGTTTAGGGTTTAGGGTGCCTGTTTTGGGGGTGGTGGAGACAATCAAAGGTTTGTTTGGGGGATCTGTGATAACAACCCTACTATTCGTGGTCAACATTTCGGTCCCCAGATTTCTGCAACTTCCTTCCAGAGGCCGTAGGACAGTTAAAGTTGCGCCTTTTTATGGTGAGGGCAGTTGTCTGAAGGCTCGGGCTTTACTGGCTTTCAGGGTCTAGGGTTTGGTGTTTAGGGTTTAGGGTTTTAGGGTTTAAGGTTTAGGGTTTAGGGTTTAGGGTTTTAGGGTCTAGGGTTTTAGGGTTTAGGGTCTAGGGTGTGGTGTTTATGTTGTAGGGTTTGTGTTATTGGGGTGCTTTGTGTTCTTGAGTAAGGACTTAAAGAACCAAGGCCATGTGGGGACAAGGTGTAATGGGGTTTGGGAAGACGGGTCAGAAGGCTCCGTAGCGACCCCGAATCTTGGCGCGGTGTGTCAACAAGCGCAACACTTTGCAAACCCGGAGCGGAGACTCAAATTCAGTCTTCAAGTGGCTCCAAGATCAAGTGATGCCCGCTAGAATTCGATACCCAGAAAGCAAAAACAGGAGGCCGAACCCTGAATCGGCAGGTGAAGACAAGCTGCACCAAAGGCGGGTGAAGTATTGTGGACTCCTCGGCTATTCTGCGTAGGTAAAGGACTGCAGCAGGACAGGGAAAACGCAGGGAGTTCTGCTCATCACAAGTACAGGACATGTGATGTGCAGAATATGTCCAGAAAGCTTCAGATCGGATGGCCGCATGGTGGCACTACTGTATCTTCTCAGACAAGGTCACTGCTAGCAAGCCCCAAGCAGAACAAAAACGAATCCACTCGGCTGCGTCCAAGTCACCAGAGCAACAGGACACGATTGGCGCACCCGACAAAGGCTGCAAAGGAGGTAACACCCCTTTGCTTGAGTTCTAGATCCTTGGCTTGCAACTCATCAGCAACGGTTCAGGGCGAAAGCTGTTCTTTGAGTCTGCAAGCTCGGGGCTGATGGTGAAGGGCGAGCTGGTGTCCTTTTCTACGCAACTTCCTCCCAAGCCGCTCAGCTGCTAGAAAGGCTAAGCCGCAAGAATGGGAGCTGAAACCGGGGGATCCCTGCTTAGCGCCGAGTCACCGTCTGGTGCACGCAGAACTTATCCAAGAAGTAGCTCTTGTCCCAGAGGTAGACATGCACATGGTGCGAACACGCCAGTGCCCAGAAGAAGGTCACACAACCCAGGAACCTCATTCAGGCGGCATGGTCACGCAAACACAGCAGCATCCCTTCAAGCATAGGCAAATCGTGAGCATGACTCCTGGCAATGTGGGTCCTTGAACGTACCTCAGTACAGAATTTATTCGGCTTCTAGTCAGCGTGATGACGCTGCTGCTTTATGGTGATGTTTGGCAGCCCCCAAGCTGATATCAGCTTCGGAACAAAGCCCAGGGGAAGAACGCCACAGCACTGGTCTCTGGATGATACCTGGTCACCGGATGCTCTTGTTCAAGACAGGCAACTTGCTCGTGATGTTTAGGGTTTAGGGTTCCCTCTTGCTATAGACGAAGACCGGCCAAATGCACAAACTCGCAGCAGCAACAGTGCTAGCACTGATCATCACAGCAGAATCATACTGACCAATCCAAAGCCCCCAAAGGAAACCCACTGACTCCAAGTCCCAAATCCTAAACCCTAAACCCCTCATGGAGGGGCCCTTATTAATTTGGGTAGGGTTTTGGGGTCTGTTTTGCTAGAACTATAAGAAGGAGCCCCCAAAATAGTATTGGTAATTTTTCAGGCCCCTATATTGAAACCCTAACTATCGGCTCTGAGTTGCTTGGGAAGGATGTCCACTCGGGCCAAAACGCCGCAGCTTACCGCCACGGTCGTGGAGACTGCCATTGCAAAATGGAGGTTACCTTCAGGGAAGACTGAACCGCTGAACCGTCCAGAGCCCTTCCGATATTTGGATTTGCAAGAGATTGAGGTGCACAGGTTTCCTCCGAATCGGGATCTAACATCCAGCAGCCTCGGTAAAAATGTATTTATCTTTGATCCTATGTCGGGAAGTATTCAGAGCAGCTCCGTCGGCAAGGGTGCTCAAGCCCTCAACCCCATTCCGTCAGTAGGAGGTTAGTTGGACTTTGCAAAAAAACCCTAAACCCTAAAC